GTAAAGCTACTGTAATGTGATCAGATGCTAGTATTTGTAGTGGAATCTGTTTTATATTACTAAAACTATCATCCCACTCCTCGGAAATCAGGAACCTATCAATTCTGGAAGCCATGTGTTGAATATCCCCTTTAAAACAAGTGAAGCTACTATCTTCTAATCGTAGATCAATTAAGTTCATGTCTTCAATGAAATCAGAAAATTCCACCATACCTCTTGTTCTCCTCCAACAATTCCTTTTTTCTGAAATGAATCTGGTGACATTAAAGTCTCCACAAACAGCTCAAGGCCCTTCCATCAATCCCCTTATTGCACCTATCTCATCCCACACTATCTTTCTCTCAATGTAGTTATTTGGAGCATATACCCCAGTTATATGACATGAAAATTTCTGAAAATGTGCCACAAACTTGCAACTCAAAGTGTAGTAACCACTTTCCAGAGCTTCCCCTTCCCAGCTTCTACAATCCCACATCATCATGATACCCCCTCTAGTGCCACTAGCCTCCAAGTGAGCAAATCTGATCCATCTTCCTCCCCACACTTGTTTGACAATCTCTCTAATGTCCCCCTCTAGTTTAGTCTCTTGGAAGCATATGATGTCTGCCTTCCAGTCAACTACCAAACTCTGCACAATTCTCCTTTTATCCCTGTCATTCAATCCCCTTATATTCCATGAAACTATTTTGAACTATATGGATCCAAGGTAAGCACCTTCCTCCCCTTACTCCTTTCCCCCTCGATCTTGAATTTAACATCGAAAGTAACTAGACCTTTTAATTCCTATTCCCCTTTGAATCTTGTCTTCTTACACACACTGTCAGACTCCATCCTTCTAGCTTGTCTGCAGCTATCTACTTGTAACAACAATTCCAAGGCCTCCTCTTTATGCCCCCAGAAATCTACCTAAGTAATTTGCCCAGCTTGATCAAATTATTTTGGACAAATAGTGATGTCTCCCTTGCTGTGACTTGAATGGTTTGTTGTTGCTAAATGAGAAGAGGTTCAGCCTCTTCCACTTCCCAATTTTCTATAGCTATGATTGTATTTTGTTGAGCTAATTCCAAAGTTTGTTCTTCCATTCCTCTGTTCTCATCTTCTCTTTCCTCCAGATATTATGTTGCCCCAATAAATCTAGAGAAGATCCCCTGAAAACAGCCTCTGTTACGGCCACATTTATCTCTGCACAGTTTCCTTGAAAATATGCACTTTGATACTTGTCATGCACCAACTTTTGGGTGGAATAAGGTTCTAGAGCTTCAACAAAGAGATCGCTGGGTAAATCTTATGAATTGGGACCTTTTAAGTTATTGAAATGACTTCTCTTGCAAAGTATGGCCCAAAAAAATTATTAAAAGCCGCCTCCTTATTTGGCTCAGCTTGCTGGCCCATTTTTTAGTTGCTTCATTAAACCCAACCACCTGCTTCTCACGTGCATTTGTTTTCAAAAATCTTCCAACTGTCAAAGAAGTACCACCCACATGATTTCTGTCTTTGAAATCCCTGTAAGAAGAGGATCTTTGTACTCCAGCACAGTTGGTAACCTTATTTGCCCTCTGGGTAAAGGCAATAATTGGTTTTTGCACTATATCCTCTTCACCGATGCCTCCCTCTGCTAATTCCGGTGACACTTCATATCTTATCTTGCTTTCCAGCCATATTGGAATGTGGTGAGTGATTCCGTTACAAGTTATGTATACCTCTCTTGGTAGATTCCTCCCATTGTTCCTCACCAAAATTCTGGCCCACTTCAGATGATTTTTTAGCTCTATTTCTTCTTCAGTAGCCATCCATCCTCCACAGAATTCGCCTATTTCTTGAAAAGTTCTTTGCGACCACAGATGCTGAGGAATTCTTACTGTTTTAACCCAGGTTTCTTTGATTTCAATAGAATTTGAAATACACCCGGCATGGGGTTCCACCATTCTAATTGCAACCTGAGCTTTTTCCCGAACCATTGCCCTTGAATGGTCCTCTCAGCCATGTATCTATTAGGGAATTCTAATAAGAACAAATCCCCGTAAATCTCATAGATGTTTACCCCAAAAGCATTTTCCAAGTTGAAGTTGACCACCTTATGTCAGCAAGTGTGGGTTTTTCCTCCGCCTCTTCTCCGAAACTCCCCACTAAACATCTCTTCAAATGGCCATTCTCTTGTGCATTAGCAGATTCAGAGATGTCAATAATTCCACTGTTACAAGTCACCTCTGCTTCACGAAGACTTCTAGTCTGCCATTTACTATCTTATACAGCCTTCTTATAAGGATAGTTGGCCTTAATTAATCTTGGGGGAGCAGCCACTGCTACCTTTTTTGAGTATTTAATGAAGTTGATCTTAAATGCTATCTCGTTCCAACCTGCATTAAAGACTGGTTCAGGAATAATAAGTGCTAATCTTCCTCCACCATTTAGTGACAGAATACTCATGTATCTCCCATGCTCATTAAATTTCCTGGTGCAAAAGTGTTCTGAATCCTGCTCTGAAATTTTCCATCTCCTGATCACTCTATTCTTGTCTTTTGAGGCCTTTTTAAGAGTGAAGTAAATCCATTCCATGATCTTTTTGCTCACGGTCAATCTCCTCATCATCTTGCGACTTCTTTCAACCCATTCGTACCACTCTGAGTTGCTAGCAGACCACCTGGTAATATCAAAAGATTTGAACCCAGCATTAAAGTAAATCCTGTTCTCCCCCATTCCAATACCTTGGATAGGGATAAGAATGGAGAAAGCAACTGCAGAAGGTGAAACCTTGAAAAGAGAGAACAGAGGGAGGGGAAGAAAGAGAAGAGAGAGGTACCTCTGATGGAAGAAAACCGGAGGAGAGATTCTCCCTCCTAGAGGGAAGGAGAGAGGCGAGTCTCGAAAAGAGTGCCTGAGAGCATTTTTGTTTGTACCTTATGAAAAACATGTTTATTTCTTTCCCTTTTCAGAAGGAAAAAAAAGAAAAGCATTCCATGGTAGCCACGACACATTTCTCGTAGGTTTCCTTTAAAGACGACAGATCATCACACATCTCTAAGAGAAATTACCTCTCATCTGATGCATGTTGCATATGACCATTAAAAAATAGCAATGGAATCATTGCAACGTAAAACAAGTTGAACATATTACAGCAATCCACAAGTAGGAAGACCCAACCATTCCGCACCATGAGAATAAGTTGAGGCCTGACGAAAGGTGAATCAAGATATAAGAATTCTGCACCTAAGCCAAACCATAGGTTGCCTATAAACTATTTCTGAAATAACAAATGATTGATTATAATAGAAGGATAAAAAACAACTTTTGGACATAGAACCAACCAACCAACCAGATGATTAAAAACCTCATGGACATGCATAAAAGTTTTCTGAAAGATTTGCTTGGCCACTTTCACAGATCACTTGTAGAACTCAAAATCAGTATCAGGCTTTTTCACGTTCGTCCTGTACCCCTTTTCGAAGTCCTTGGGAAGAATGACATATCGATTCTTGCGCACAGCATGCATACCCGCTTCTTGACATATTGCAGCAATCTGCAGATATTGCAACATGCATCACATATATGCATTGCCACAAATTGACTTATTGATAATGGTTACTTGCATTTCTATCATTACTAACCACAGTATTTATGCAATACAAGGGAAGAAAGGACAAAAACAGTTGCCACCAAACTATAGAACCATGAGCACTGACCACTGTTCTTGACATTCTAGATAAGTAGCAAAGGACCCTATTTACCAAACCAAAGCAGATAGAGAGTTGAAAGACTAACCTCAGCAGCACTAATTTTGTCAGGGCGAGAAACATAGTCCTCCAAGTCGACCTCATCACCTAAGTTCATCTTAGCAGTGCAGACCTGCCCAAAATAATCAATTTTAAATTGTGCTTGATTTAGTATGAAAAAGCGGAAATACTTCTGCAGGAGATGCACAGTTTACAAGTTCATCTATCTAAACTGCCTACACTCACCCTTCCTCTTCACTTCTTTTTTCCCAAGGAATGAGGGAGAGGAAAGAAGACAAACATGAGTAGAAGATCATCTAACAACCAAAACTCACCTGAAAAACAAGCCTTTTCTGACGCCTATCAGGCAAAGGAAATTCAATCTTACGATCAAGCCTTCCAGGACGCAGAAGTGCAGGGTCCAACGTATCAGCTCTATTAGTAGCCATAATAACTTTCACATTAACAGTTTGGTCAAAACCATCCATCTGCAGACGAAAACCAGAAAGAAATTCCATAAATATTCAAAGTATTTACATCTATACAGCCAGAACTACTTTAGATCTAAATAAAGAAGCATACCTGATTTAGCAACTCCATAAGGATACGCTGGACCTCTCTATCAGCTCCAGTCTGAGCATCAAACCTAGCAGTAGCAATTGCATCTACCTCATCAATGAATATGATTGCTGGCGCATTTTCTTTGGCAAGGCGAAAGACATCACGAACCATTCGTGGGCCCTACAACAGTCAAAGATTAAGAGAAATGATCAAAACTAGTATAAAATTAAAGCCAATGGTGGCTTGAAGCGATCCCATTTCACCAATCTTCATTCAGGAACAAAAAAGTTGTATCAAGGTGAACATGCTGCAACGGAACATACAAAATGCAACGCAAAACTGCATTTTGAGATAAATGGACTCTGCTACCTGATTGCAAGCAGATCTGTCTACAATAACTTCCGTATTTCGAAAAATGGTTCTCATAAATGATGTCTGCTAGTGAAAGATAATTGAAACCAAAGAACCTGATGTCCCAAACGTTGTATTCCTTAAGGTTGGAGGTATTGCTGGACAATCCATGTTACTTTATAGCAGTGATTTAAAAGGCACAAGGCAAACATCTTTCAGGATTTATCATCCTTGGCACACGAAAACTATAATGTAAGTCAAAAATATAAAAGACAATGAAAGAGATGGGAAAACCCATAAGCGATTAAAGTATAGTGGAAAATAGAGTAGCAAAGATTAGAGAGTAAATCGACTACGTCACAGACTGGAATACATATGCTCCAGCTATCAGGTGTCATGTATGTAGTATCTGCTCTCAAAGGAGAGTGAATGTTCCTTCAATACATGGAAAAATCCCTATTATAAGTTTTTATTTGGACTCACATGTTGCCCAAGTATTGATATTATTTTGTCTCAATTAATTTTACTATTAGGTGTATTGTTCTGATCTGCTTGTGTTTTAGGAAATCAAAAAGAGGTCAATTCATCAACCGAGGACATCTGTATTGGATTTTCGAAGAGAGAGAGAGAGAGA